TTTACAAATGCCTTTTGACGTTAAACGAGGGAACCAGTGTGCTTCTGACTCCCAAATATTAATACTTTGGAATAGAATGGGAAGTTCAAAGTATGGATAAGGAATAGAGAGTTTTGTTAACACAATTAGTTTTAAAATGTAGAATCAACCTACTTTTCTAACAGTAAGTGTTCTTTAAATTATTTATAGCACATCCATCTCATAAAGACCATGTGTGGTGTTCTTTCAGGAACTCTTATGCCGTAGATATTTTAAATAAAAATGTTTATAACTTAGCCTGACATAGGACCAGAACTTTCTGTCATCAGAGAGGCTGGTGCTCAATTTTCATTTTACTAATAATTGTTAAATTTTTTTTTGTATTAAACCCCTCTAGTATATATTTTTGTGGTTCAGTTCCACACAGTGGTACATCTTAGAAACTAATAAGTAAAATAACCATTCCCTCTCACATCTTTCACCATCACGGATTGTCTTCATCAGGAACCGATGTTCTCTTTAGTGCAAATCTTCTAAAAATGTATTTACATATTGTAATGTGATTTTAGAAAATATTCTTCACTACATGTTTTATCATCATATTTCACTCTGCAAATTGAAATATTTACATACCATATGTCTTGAAGTTGTTCTCATGTTAGTAAACGTAGAGATAACTGCTTTTTTAGATCCTCATTGGAGCATTCACTAAATGAAGAAACATGGGTCCTTTACAATTTCTTACTGTTTCAAAGAATGCCATGGTGGTGGCTTCTCAGCAGGCAGACTTCACTACAGACACATAAGGGTATCTTAAAATTATTACGGGGTGCCTGGTTGGCTAGGTCGATAAGATGTCCGACTTGGGCTCAGGTCATGATCTCATGGTTAATGAATAAGAAGTCCACATGGGGCTCTGTGCTGACAGCTCAGAGCCTAGAGCCTACTTCAGATTCTGTGTCTCCCTCTCTCTGCCCCTCCCCTGCTCACATTCTGTCTTTCTCTCAAAAACCAATAAACATTTAAAAAAAAAAGAAAAAAAAAGATTGTACAGCTTAAGCATGATTACCAGGTTAATGATAGTCTTTCTGAGGAGGCACAGACATTCCACTTACTAAATAAAGATTTTAAATCAATTGTCTTGAACATCCTCAGCTAAAGGAAAACATGGAAAACATCTAAGAAGTAGGAGAATAATGTTTCAACAAATAGAAAATATCAGTAAAGAGACAGATGAAATAGAAAGTGATGGAATAGTTATTCTGGAGTTAAAAAAGTATAATAGCCAAAATTCAAAATTCACTAGAGGGTGAATGGACAATAGATGGACAATAAGAATAAAGAATCAGTGAACCCAAACATAAGTTAACTGAAATTATCAAGTGTAAGCAGAAGAAAGGAAGAAAAAGAATAAAAGGGAAAAAAAGAAGAAAAATGACTGGAGACTAAGAAATCTTCAAACACTATCAAGAATACTGATATACATGTAATAGGAGTCCTAGAAGGATAAGATAAAGAAAGGGCAGAAAGAATATTTGAAGAAATAAGAGTTGAAAACCTCCCCAATATGTCAAAACAACCTACACATCCAAAAAACTCAATTAACTTCAAGTATGACAAATGCATGGAGATCCCTGGCAAGCACATAATCAGTCAGCTTTTTATTTTTTTATTGAAAAAAAAATTTTTTTAACGTTTATTTATTTTTGAGACAGAGAGAGACAGAGCATGAACAAGGGAGGGTCAGAGAGAGAGGGAGACACAGAATCTGAAACGGGCTCCAGGCTCTGAGCTGTCAGCACAGAGCCCGACACGGGGCTCGAACTCACGAACCGTGAGATCATGACCTGAGCCGAAGTCGGACGCTTAACCGACTCAGCCACCCAGGTGCCCCAATCAGTCAGCTTTTTTAAAAAAATTTTAATGTTTATTTTATTTTTGGGAGAGAGAGACAGAGCACGAGTGGGAGAGGGGCAGAGAGAGAGGAAGACACAGAATCTGAAGTAGGCTCCAGGTTCTGAGCTGTCAGCACAGAGCCCGATGTGGGGCTCGAACCCACAAACCATGAGATCATGACCTGAGTCAAAGTTGGAAGCTTAACCAACTGAGCCACCCAGGTGCCCCAAGGCTTGTTTTAGATACACAAATAGGTTGAAAGTGGAAGGATGGAAAAAGACATTCCTTGCAGATAGTCACGAAACCTACCTGAGTAGCTATACACATATCAGACCAAACAGACTTTAAGTTGTAAAATTGCTACTAAAGATGTTGAAGGACATTCTATATTGAAAAAAGAGTCAGTCCATCACGAGGATAAAACAACTACAAATGATATGTATATAACAGCAAAGCCTCCAATTTTTTGAAGCAAAAAAAGAGTTCTACTATAACAGAGGGAGACCTCAGTGTTCCCTTTTTAATAATGGACAGAACCACCAGACATCAGTAATAGAGGACTGTGCAACACTAAACCAGCTAAACTCAGCAGACATATATAGAACACTCCACTCACCAAAAACATTGCACTCAAAACTAGGAATAGAAGGGAACCTGATCAGTCCGAAAAAGGATATTATAAAAATTCCATAGCTAACATCATACTCATTGGTGAACAACTGAAAACTTCCCCCTAATATCAAGAACAAAACACGTATGCCCCACTGTGCCACCACATATCAACACTGTATGGGAAACTTTAATTAGAGAAAATACAGAGGATAAATAAAATGTGTCAGAATTGGAAAAGAAATCAAACGATCTCCACTCATAGTGTACATGATCTTGTATTTAGAAATAAGAATCCTCAGAAAGACAGTTACCATATGTTTTCACTCATATGTGGATCCTGAGAAACTTAACAGAGAACCATGGTGGGGGGGGGGGGGGGTAGTTAGAGAGAGGGAGGCAAACCATGAGACTTAAATACTGAGAACAAACAGGGTTGGTGGGGGGTGGGGGAGAGGGGAAAGTGGGTGATGGGCATTGAGGAGGGCACCTTTTGGGATGAGCACTGGGTGTTGTATGGAAACCAAACTGACAATAAATTATATTTCATATAAAAAAAAAGAAATAAGAATCCTCAAACTATTAGAATGAATTCACTGAAGTTACAGAATACAGTATCAACACTCAAAATTCAGGTTGTGTTTCTGTACAGGAGCAATCAACAAATGGACAGTAAGTAAACAGTTCCATTTAGAAGAGCAAGAAAACAAATGGGAATAAATTTAACCAAGGAAATGGAAGATTTACACACACTGAAATTTCATACAAAGTTGTTGAGGAAAATTAAAGAAAACCTAAACAAATGTCAAGATATCCTGTGCTTGTGGCTTAGAAGACCTTAAAATGGCAGTACTCCCCAGAGCAATATAAAGGGTAATGCAGTCCTTAGAACACCCCAACAGCATGTTTTGCCCAAATGGGAAACCTCATTCTAAAACTCACATAGAATTGGTAAGGACACCAAATAAGGAAAATAAATATGAGAAAGAACAATATCGGAGGACTTAGAATTCTTGACATCAAACCTGACTACAATAACTTTGAGTAATCAAAACTATAATTCTAGCAGAGGCTAGAAATACAGATCAAAGTGATAGAATTGAGCGTCCACAAGTAAACCCATACGTCTGCAATCCATTCCCTTTTACAAGTCTGCCAAAAACAGTGGAAAAAAGAATAGTCTCTTTAATGGTACTGGAACAACTGGATATCCTTGTGTCAATGAAACTGAAACTACCTCCTACCATATAAGTAAATAAATTCAGAATTAATCAAAAGACTACAGGTAAGAGCTAAAACTATAAAAGTCTTAGATGAAAACATAGAGGTAGATCTTCATGACCTTAGGGTTGGCAGTGGATTTTTATATATGATACCAAAAGCAAAAGAGAAAATGACTAAGTAGATAAATTGGTATTTGTCACAATCATGTCTGTGCACTGAGACATTATCACATGAGTGAAACAGTCTACCAAATGGGAGGAAATAATTTGCAAATCACAAATCTAGTAAGGGTGCAGAACCTAGAAATATATGAAGAACTTCTCTACAACTCAACAACCAAAATACAAAGAGCCCAATTTGCAAAATAGTCAAAGTATTTTAATAGATGTTTCTCCATAGAAGATATACAAATGAAACAAGCACAAGAAGAGGTGTTCAATGAAAGTAGTCATTAGTAAGATGCAAAGTCAAAACCAAATGAGTTATTTCATACCCACTAGGATGACTATTGTAAAACAACAACAACAACAACAAAAAATAAGTGTTGGTAAAGATGTAAAGATTCTAATTAGAATCATGACACATTGCTGTTAAGCTGTTGTAGCTGCTGCAGAAAACAGTGTGGCCAATTCTCAAAATATTAAACCATGTGACCCAGTAATTCCACTCCTAGGTATATAACCAAAAGAACTGAAAACAAATATTCAAACTTACTTGTACTTGAAAGTTCACAGCAACTTAGTAACATCAGGCAAAGGTGGTAACAAGCAAATGCCCATCAGCAGTTGAGTGAATATGGTCTAGTCCTTCTATGGAATACTCTGCAGGCAGAAGAAAGCAAATGTACCACTGATACATACTATATCATGGATGAACCCCAAACATTATTCCAAGTGAAAGAAGGCAGATGCAAACGGTCACATTTTTGATGCCATTCCATTCACATGAAAAGATCCAAAATCAGTAAATCCAGAGAAAAAGCATTAGTGGTTGCCAGGGACTGGGCAATAGGAAGCACCTGCTTAATGGGTAAAAGATTTCCTTTGGGGCTGATAAAAATGTTTTCTATCTAGACAGAGGTGAGGTTTATGCAACATTGTGAATGCACTGTCACTGAATGGTACTTTAAAATGGCTAATTTTATGTTAACTTTATCTCTTCAAAATTATCTTACACAAATCAAAGAATACTCACTCTAGCCAAGTCCATCTTTACACATCTGTGCTTCCCTAATTTTGTGTCAAATAAGAACACTTTCCCTGTCCACTTGGTGAAATGTGTTTTCCTTTCAGGGACGGTTGACATTCAGGGACGTAGCCATAGAGTTCTCTCAGGAGGAGTGGGAGTGCCTGGACCCTGCTCAGAGGTCCTTGTACAGGGACGTGATGTTGGAGACCTACAGGAACCTGGTCTCCCTGGGTGAAGATAACTTCCCTCCAGAAGTCGGTAATTACTTTTTATGTGTTTGCATTTCCTTTTGACAGTCCCTGACTTGATCATAGGAGTTTCAAATCCCTGTTCTTTAGGGAGTGATTGCAGCCGTTTTGATGGAGAATGGAAAGGCATCATAATGTGGCAAATGGACTCTTAACTTCCCTTTCCTTCAGAAGTTCTGCACTCCTGCTTGTTTAGGTGGTTGCAGAACATTAGTCAGAAAACCTTATGGGAGGGAAATGGTGATGACGAGCACTGGGTATTATATGTTATATGAATCACTAAATTCTACTGAAACCCATACTATACTGTTTGTTAACTAACTAGAATTTAAATAACCATCTAGAAGTCTGGGGAATAGGATGTAAAAACCCTGAAAGTCTTAGTAAGTCCAATTTCACGGACATCATTAAAGATAAGGCTCAGAGACAATAAAGTTACTTAAAGTTGGGGAAGGAAAAGGAAACCTTACGGTGAATTTTTTAAAATATCTGATTCTGTGGTTTTACCCTTGTGCTTTTGGTTCAGTATTTCTTGGAAAGAACCAGATCTCTGCATACCTAAAATAATCCTTAAGCATTCAGGCACTCAGTTGACTACTTTTTGAAATATGTTTCCACACCCACATATACTGAATGTCCTTTCTTTGTTGAACAACAAGCTGGGAATGTATTCTGGAAGAGCAAAGCAGATCTGTTTTTCTTTATAAATGGAAATCTCTTCTTGAGCTGAATATCATCTCCATTTTCGAAGCAGGGAAAGAGCCCTGGACTGTGGAAAGTGACCTGAATATTTGGGGAAATCCAGACAGGTGGGAATGTATTGGAGATGTGAGCACAAGTCAGAGCTTAGATGGGCACAGAGTAAACGGCTCCAGTAAATACTGTTTGGGAAGGATCTGTGGGAAAATACAAGTTCATTCCTTATGAGCTTTCAAAGAAAAGCCTCCCTCACCCCCTACCCCCACACTTCTCATTCTGTTATTCAGATGTGTAAATCAAATGTGTACACGTCTAAACTCCCACTATTAGGACCTACAACGCTGTTACCTGGGCCAGGTCTGACCCTCTAGGTCTGACCATACTGGTGCCATGGTTTGAGAGGGACTGGGATGGCTGTCCCTAAGGAATCTTTTCCCTGATCTCTCTTGGTTCTCATTCCATACAGGTCAGAGCTGAGGCCTCTATAGTGCAGACCCCAGGACCTGTTCACTTTCCATTTCTATTTTGTGTCCTAGAGAGAACTTCTCAGGAGACAAACAAAATGTAGTATCTGTCTAATAAAAGTAGAGCTAAAGTTTATCTCTTTCTTTCCTGGGCCATCCTGGCTTCTTAGGGTCGGGCCATTGTGCATTAATTAGGAGGAAGTCATGATGTGGATAATTCCAAAAAGTGAAAATCCAAAATTAGATGTAGTTGAAATACAGCACAGCTTACTGACATCTCTAGTTAGCTTTTCTGTAGGAAAAACATGTATCATTCCACAGATGTTTATTGCATTCCTGATATACGGAAAGCACCATATTAATAAATTTGGGTGGTGTTTTGTTTAGGTTGTTTCAAGAACTAAAGAGGCAGCAGCAAATTTTGATGTTAAGTAATCTCTGCACCTATTGTGGGGTTTGAACTCACCACCACAAGGTCAAGGGTTGCATGCTCTACCAAGTGAGCCAGCTAGGCTTCCCTCTTTTTTTTTCTTAACCTTTTGATCCCTTCACCCATTTCTGCCACTGTCCCCTCAACTTCCTGCCTGTAGTAACCACCAATCTGTTCTCTGTATCTACTAGGAGAGGTTGTTTTGTTAAGATTCCACATATAAGAGAAATCATACTGTATTGGTCTTTGACTCATTCCTCTTAGCATAATGTCCTCAAGGTCCATCCATGTTGTCACAAATGGCAAGATTCTTTCTTTTTTATGGCTGGATAATATTGTGTTGTATATACACAGCTTTATCCATTCACCCATCAATGGACACTTAGATTGTATCTGTATCTCAACTACTATAAATAGTGCTGCAGTGAACATCAGAACGCTTCTTTTTGAGTTAGTATTTTTGTTTTCTTCAGATAAATACTCAGAAGTAGAATTGGTGGATCACACAGTAGTTCTCTTGGCTATACCATTTCATCTCCCACCAACACTGCACAAATTCCCCACTCTGTCACCAATGCTTGTTATTCTTGTCTTTTTAATAACTGCCATTCTAATAGGTGTGAAATGATACCTCACTGTGGTTTTGATTTGCATTTCCCTGGTGATGAATGACGTTGAGCATCTTTTCATGGTCCTGTTGGCCACCTCTAGGTCTTTGTAAAATGTCTATTCAGCTCTTCTGCCCATTTCTTAAATTGGATCATTTGAGCATTTTTGGGCTGTTTTGGATTATTAGTCCCTTATCAGATACATCATTTGCTAATTTTACATTTTGTTGAAAAAGTGTTTACTTTGCTGTGCAGACACTTTTTAGTTTGATGTTGTCCCACTTATTTTTGCTCTTGTTTTTTCTTTTGGCGTCAAGAGTCAAAAAAACAAAAAAATTTGCCCAGACCTGTGTCAAGGAGCTTCTTACCCTCTATCTTTTCTTCTAGGAGTTTTTTATCCATTTATCTTTAATCCATTCTGAGTTAATTTTTGTGTATGGTGTCAGTCAGTGGTCCAGTTTCACGCTTTTGCCTCTGGCTGTCCCGTTTTCCCAAACCATCGATTGAAGAGATTGTACTTTCCCCCATTGTACAGTCATGTCTTCTTTGTTGTAAATTAATTGACCATGTGTGTGAGTTTATTTCTAGGCTCTGTTCTGTTCTGTTGATCTATGTATCTATTTTTATGCTAATACCATACTGTTTTAATTACCACAGCTTTGTAATCAGGGAGTTTGAAATTGGGAATGTGATTCCTCTAGCTTCGTTCTTCTCTCTCAAGATGCTTTAGCATTTGGGTTCTTTTGTGGTTCCATACAAATACAGGATTTTTCTATTTTGTGTGTAGGTTTTTAAGTGGATGTAAATTTTCAACTTATTTTTGTAAATACCAAAGAGTATGACTGCTAGACAACATTTAGTAGTATGTTTAATTCTGTAAGAAACTTGCAGTCTTCCAAAGTGGCATACCATTTTGCATTCCCACCAGCAGTGAATGAGAGTTCTTACTGCTCCATATCCCCACTAGTATTCAGTGTTAGTGTTCTGGATTTTGGCCATTCCCATACATGTGGAGTGACACCTCATTGTTATAACACACATTGTCCTCAACTAAATCTATGGCATTCTTTAAGCCAAGATTTTATGATA